GACTGATCTGGATATGTTCTTTTTGACAATGAATGCAACACAATTCTTCAATTTGTCATTCCCGGCATAGTAAACCATGTGGTTGTCAGATTCAATGGCCAATACCTTTTCATTTCAGCTCACTAATGCCTAAGATATTGATGGCTATGCATTCCATTTCATTTTTGACAACTTCCAATTTTCCCAGATTCATACTTTCGTACATTCTCTGTTCCAATTTTCAGTGGATGTTTACAGCTGTTTCTCTTCATTTTGAGTTGTGCCCCATCAGCAAATGAAGGTCTCGCAGGCTTTTCTCCCATGGTCTTTACTCCATTCGTGTTATCACGGTCAACTCTACTTTGAGGAGGCAGCTCTTCCCCAGTTGCATTTTGAGTGCCTTCCAACCTGAGGGGTTCATTTTCCAGCACTCTATCTGATAGTATTTCTCTCCTATTCATAAGGTTTTCAGTGACTAAATATTCGGATATAGTTTGCCACTCTTTCTTCCTAGTCTGTCTTTGTCTGGAAGCTCATCAGAAACCTGTCCACCATGGTATTTAAAATACCAGTGGCACAGCTTTCAGAATCACAGCAACTCACAAGCCACCACAGTACGACAAACTGAAAGACAAGTGGTGGCCATTTGGTGTTAAGTGGAAACTGTCCCTTTAAATTTCGAGGAGATCTGTGCGCATGTGTAGTAGAATCCTCCATGGGTGAGGGTAGGGGGTCCATTCACTCAAACATCCCCTCTAGTCATCAGGACTTTAAAAAATTAAATTTCATAATTGAGTCCCAGAATAAGTTTCTCTCTAAGCATGTTTTTTGTGTCAAAAGCAGAGAAGCCCTTTGACAATGAGGGCAAGTTTCACAGAAAGTACTTAACATCTACCCTCATTTTCATGATTTTCAGCAATAAGGTATTTTTTATTAAGATAATCTTCTAAATCGTTCTAAAAAGGATTTCTATATTTAATATTAGAAATAAGATATTTGAAACAACTAGAATAAATGAATTAATTTGTCAAATCTAAGGGCTAACTGCTGCTAAACTTTTAAGGAAAAAATAAAAAATTCATTATTGTTTTAAAATAGTAGTCTTACACACTGACAGCTTTCACAACAAAGGAGTAAAGTCTTTATAAAACACTTTCCTCTCTCAAAATAATTCTGTCAAAGGATTTTGAGAGGCAAAACTCCAAGTACGCATAGAAGCACAGTTTCTGGTGGTCACTCCTATTCCTACTATGGGTGAGTTTCACTGAAGCCAACTTTCCATCTTAGAAACTATAGCACAAGAGCCACCGCTCTCACGAGTCTCTCTCCTCTTCTAGTCAGACACTGAGACACCTGCCCACACCCCCACACCTAGGACTTTAAGAAGCAGAAAGGGGACTTTATTTTTAAAAGCTCAATCTTATGTTTCTGACAGTGGTGACCAAATGGTCAAAAATGGCCTAAAAGTATCACTTTAGACGTTTTCCAAACATTCTGTCCATGACCCATCACATTTTACATTGTGAGCTTTTGCAAGCACATGTGTGAACACACACACACACACCTGAAACCAAAGGTTCATGAAACAATATTTGCTTTTAGTATATATGTGACACATTTTAATAGCATTGTTTCTACTGTTGTTAGCTTACACAAAGATGCTGGTCATGTGGCTCACCACCTGGGATTTTACACACTGTCCACCACTTACTACCTTCCAAGGTTCATCCCAGAAGTGTGGAATGGAGAAAAGATCAACAGGGGACCAGATCTGTCCTGAGACCTATATTTTCAGGGCAGATGCTTTGAGGGTCTAAGGGCAAAATGAGAGGGAGAACTGGCAAACTGTAGCCGGACACCAGTGAGACATGGTGATACAATATGATTAAAGTAGTAAACAATGGACAAGCAATGGTACAAAGGTCTCTAAGTAAATACCAAAGTTACATTTTCTGTTGACAATGCTGGAACCAAGAATACTTTATAGCAACGAATTTGGTAGAAAGTCTGTTTGTAACTCATCCAAAAAATGTCATTAAAAATATTCTAAAACACTGCAAGAAAAACATGTATTTATCCTTTCTCTGGCGATATAAAATACTAAAATTTTTACCAATTAGTAACTTCCATCAAAACACTGCCAAAACTACTATTGTAACTGAAAGCAACTCTGTCCACATTTCTGACCTCAGTAACTGTTAGACCAACAGCATGCAGCATCATATGTTTTCACAGTCAGTAACCCTCAGGATTTTCTTGTTTACCTTACTGGAGACCCACAGAAGTATTTTAAATACTATTTTTATCTTCTGGTATTTAAGTCTTAGCTTACAAAACTTTTGGAGAAATGTGCAACCAGAGACATTTTTAAAGAAATTGTTACTTGTTAAAGAAAACAAAATAGAAAAATTAATATTGCAATTGAATTAGGGTCTGATTCTTAGTACCCGAAGAAACAGTTTTTCACAGGATCATATGGCAGTATAAACAGGGCTCTGTGTTTTTAAATTAGCAAGCCTCCCATTTCTACAGTGCCCAAATAAATGAAACTGGATTACGTAGGCAATAAATACCATGTATAAATGGTGATTTTGTTCTTGACAGATTTTCATTTACACATATGCTTCTAGATATAGTACCATTAAACTACTTCTACAAAAGTTACAGTTATAAGAAATGACAGATTTCATCTTAGTTATGCCTACATTTGCAGGAAAAGAAGTCACAGTTGACAACATTTCATTAAAAACATGTGCTACAGTTTCTGAAAATTAAGCCAATTTCTCAAGATATAAAGTCTGAATCAAAAAATAAAATATAAGAAAATCGAGACAAAGTTGAAACATTTACCTGAAATTCGGGTACAGTAGGTGGCTTTGTGACAGTTTTCCTCTTCTTTGTGATTGCTTTTTTAGATATGGATTTTTTTCCTTTCAAGATTAAAAGAGAAAAGCTTCATAATGCTGTTTATAGCACTTCATTAACAAAATCCAAATTACATACAGCCTTGAAAGTTAAATGATAACTACCAGATGGCTGCTAGTAGGTCAAATAAAAATGATGAATTGAAACAAGCCCCAGTAAAAGCAAACATTAAACTATAACTACTTGTAACAGACATATTAACAAATACTGTTTATGTAAGAACCAAACTATTACAATCTCCAGTGTGTTGCACAATATCAGAATTTATTGGGCTAAAATTTCAGGGTGGGGGGAGTGCTATTATTACTTACTGTTCAGTAAAAACTAACTATATTCACAGTTTAAACACAAAACTACAAAGGAAAAAAACAAAACCAACCAAACAAGCCCTTACCTTTAACAATGACATCTGTAGTCAGGAACTTGCATATAGAACTATAATCTCTGTATGTTAAGGGCTCAACCTACTGTGAAAATCCCTTCAGTAGCTTAGATACAAAGATTTTCTATCTGTTAAACCCTGCAATTCACCCAATGGGCTGCCTTTGGCAATATTCAATATCCAGAGTTGTAAGAGAAAGTAAACATTTCCCATTCAAGTGTACCTAGTCACTTGTGCAATCAGAAAGCACTGGGAAAAAGAAATCCTGTGTTCTTAAAAAAGCAGAATTGATGGCATAGATTGAAGCATATTTATTCTTTGTATTTAACCTGATGACAGTTACAAACATACATACCACCTCTATTTTTAGTTGAAACATGCTAAAGTAAATGTTTTCCCCCCATTTGTAATTAGAAAAATCAATGAACCAATCATTACTTTAAAAATGTGCCAGGTACAGGGCAATGTACAAATTATGGAGATAATCTGAATTATATAATGAAGACCCTGTCCTCCAGGAGCTTTTATGTAAGGGAATTAAAAATAATAATAATGAAAGGAAAAGAAAATACTTTAAAATTAACTTTAATTCACAATCATTTATAGGCTAAAATCAGCTAAAATTTACTTTTTTTTTTTTTCCCAAAAGGAAAAATGATTCAGGTAAATGAAGTAACTGCTATATATAATTACGAATGCTCCTCAGATACAATTCCAATTCATAGTATCAATGTATCGCTTTCTGTAATTCTTTTTAGTCAAATAACAACAGCCATTTCTAACTGAATTGCTGAACTTCAAATGAGTTTGTATTCTGTTCTAATACCACTGTACCGTCATTTGACACTGGCTTTGGATTAATCTGAAATAAAACATTTCTTTTCCGATTGCTCTTATGTGCTTACACAATACCTACAGAGAAGTAAACACCTACGTTGTAAGTAGCTGTTTGTAAATGTTCAGGAAGAAAGGATTACTAAATCATTGGAATCTTTATAACACTGCCAGTAACATTTCTGAACTGAGTACCCTGAGTAACTCCTGAGGGTCTCATAAATCCCAACACCAAGATGTCTCTATACACTACTGCTTCTATTTCTAGAAGATCACAGGAGAAAATCTGTTGTAATACTCATAGGTCTGCTTCAGAACTCAGTTGGGTATACAGACAGCTTTAAAAAAAATCATCTGATTTTGATTTCACTTATTAGCACAACTGAAGTCACCCATGACTTTTACACTGTCACTGCAGTATAAGGAACGTGAGCAACCATTCTGAATGAATTAAGCAGGTGAGGTGGTACCTGAGCTCACCAAGTCATCAGAAGACTTCACTTTCATAAAGAGACTGGAGGCAGTACTAGGGAGTACTCTTAAACCTGAGTCTTTGAACTCTAGTTGGAATACAAACTCTATTAGCTTAAGACCTTGAGCAAATGGCTTTATTTCTCCAGGCAGTTTCTTCATCTGTGAAACAGGAATAGTAGCATCACCTATTTGGCGGGAATTAAATCAGTTAAACCATGTCAAGAGCTCAGAATGCTGCCAGATACACGTTGTGTGTTCACTGTTATTTTATCTGCCTTAGCTGAGGTCTGGTGACACCATCTAAAGAGACAATATTTTCTTCAATCTCTTAAAAAAAAATTTTTTTTTAAATCATGGATAAGCACTAGACTACAGTTCAAACCCACCAGCTGCTCCTATAAAGATTTATAGCCTCAGACACCCTATACAGGATCGCTAGGATTTGGGACTGACTTGCCAGCACCTAACAACAGCAACATTCCTCCATCCCAAGTTTTCTTGCTCATGCATGCTTGGTGCTGCCATTCCACCTTGTACACATATCACTGTAAGACAGCCACAATCACAAGGGTCTGTTTATGTATTTCCTTTTTTACTAGACTGTAAATTGAGGACAGAAAGCACTCTCTATCTTCCCCTGTTGTATTTGTAGAACTTAGTTCTGAAAAGTGATCTGAAATACAAGAATCCTACTCTTCAACAGAAATCCCACTGCAATTCTGAGGTTCTGTAAGAGACCATTCTATAGTGAAGAAAACAGTCTCTTTAAGTAATTTACACAATTTGTAAAAGTTTCAAAAACATGACCTAGAACAGTAATCCGAGAACTAAGATTTTCATATGCATATGCATACCAATAGCCCTCTGGTGGCCCAGTGGTAAAGTGCTTGGCTGTTAACCTAAAGGCTGATGGTTTAAACCCACCAGTCACGGCACAGGAGAATAATGAAGCTGTCTGCTTCCAAAATCATTTTTCAACTCTACAGCAGTAAGCACAGTGTGTCAGACACTTTGTAAGGCCATTTATATAAATTACCTCATTTAATTCTCAAAACAAGCCTACAAGTAACTTCTGTTGCTATTTCCCTCATAGTGACTGACATGTAATAAAAAATCCGGTGCCATTCTCACAGTCACGTTTTGAGCCCATTGCTATAGCTACTGTGTTAGCCCATAGCCATCGAAGGATCTTCCTCTTTCTCACTGACCCTCTACTTTACCAAGCTGATGTCCCTTCTCCAGGGACTGGTCCCTCGGGATAACGTGTCCGAAGGTAAGTGAAACAAAATCTTAACACCTCAGTTCTAAGGAGCATTCTGCTTCTACTTCTTCCAAGACAGATTTGTTGTTCCTTCTGACAACCATGGTGCATTTAAGATTCTTCACCAACACTATTCAAAGGCATATATTCTTTTCCTGATTTCCTTATTCACTCTCCAGCTTTCACAAGCATCTGAGACTACTCACCTGATACTACCGAAAATACCATGCCTTGGGTCAGGTGCACCTTTGTCTTCACTCTTTAAACACTTAAAAGAGATCTTTGCAGCATTTTGCCCAATGCAATTCACCATTTGATTTCCTGACTATTGCTTCCATGGCCGTAGAGCTTAGTAAAATGAGAGCCTTGACAACTTCAATCTTTTCTCGATTTATCATGATGTTGCTTAATGATCCAGTTGTGAGGATTTTTGTTGTATGTCGAGGTATAATCCATACTGAAAGCTGGGGTCTTTGATCTTCATCAATTAAGTGCTCCAAGTCCTTTTTACTTACAGTAAGCAAGGTTGTGTCACCTGCATATAGCAGATTGTTAATCTTTCCTCCAATCCTGATACTGTGGGGTGTTTTAATTGTTAGAATTGCATAATAGAAGGCACTTGGACTTTGGAGTTAGATTCCTCTCTATGGTGCTTACTTCCTGTGTGACACTCATTTCAATTAATCTTTCTGATCATTATTATCTACCTTTACCCCCGTTTTAATGTGGGACTAACTGAAGACCTATTCCCCTGGCCCCATTCATTTAGGCAATTCCAACTCACAGGATCATAAAGATTAATTAACTTAGAGAAGAATCTAACACCAAAGTCCAAGTTTCTTCTATTATGCAATCCTAAATAAATCATAATTAGCATTTACTGATTCCTACTGGACTAAGCCCAAGGTTGATCGTTCAAACCAACCAGACACTCCTTGGAAACCTTACACAGGGTCATTCTGAGTTGGAACCAACTCCAAGGCACTTAACTACAAAGTCACTCTGAGTCAGAACTGACTAGTGTCATGCTCAATATTGGGTACTATGTATGCATTTGCTATCCTTTACTGATTATAGCATCTGCTACAATCAATCTTTACAGCAACATAGCAAGGGGAGTGTTGCCTTCATTTTGCAGATGAGCCAACAGGCCACTGTTGGTGAATAAATCGATGAAGGACGACCTACAGCACTAGAGGACAAATGTGAACCAAAGCTGCAGTTTTCTTATGGCAAAATACTGCACTCTTTCAGACTTCCTACAAGGTTAATAGATTCATGATTGATGTCAGAATATTTCTTTTGATTAGGATAAGATTTGCAAACCTAGCATTATGTAAAATTTTAAATTTACGTTCTTGAAAAAATTATCTGAGTACAAATTTCCCTGTATCCTTCAACAGAAAACTGTTCTTAGTTTTCATTAAATATTGTTTTAAAAAGTGGATCACGTTGTAAGTGCTGCTGACTCATACAGTGTCCAAAGAGCAGCTGGTGTGTAAGAACTGCCAATCTTGTGAGTACCAAGCCAGTGTTTATCCTACAGTGCCACATCATTGTTGTCATTAAGTGCCCTTGAGTCGGTTCAGACTCATAGTGACCCTGAGTAGTGTTTCCAAGGAGCGGCTGGTAAATTTGAACTTCTGACCTTGATGTTTAAAAGGACTTTGCAGTCCAGTGCATTATCCCACACCACCACACCAAGACTCCACAGTGCCACACTACAGGCTACTATAAAACTAACCCAGCCTTCACTTGGTCACTTGTTCTGCTCAGGGACAAGTATATAATGGAAGGGTTACATACTGCCCCCTAGTGGGCTCCTGTTTCTCTACTACTACTTAATGCATTTGAGTTACCGTGTTGGAGAATATTGAAAGTGCCAAGGGCTCACAAAAGAATCAACAGATCTGTGTTGGAAGATGCACAGCCAGAGTGCTCCTTGGAGGCCAGGATGGCCAAACTTCGTCTCTCATACTTTGGATATATTGTTAGGAGGGACCAGTCACTGGAGAAGGTTATCATGTTTGGTAAGGTGGAGGGTCAGAGAAAAA